TTGTATTAAAAACACACAATAGAAGCATTTAAGATCTTGCTTTCCAGTCATTGTCATCACTTTTGGCTCAAATAAACTATTAAAAAATTTTTTAAACTAGGATTATATGGGAATATTTGTTTTTTATCCTCACTGTAGGACATTTATTTTTCATTGCTTTCAGAGAGAGAATAAGGAAGAGAAACACCAACGTGAGAGAAACATCAATTGGTTGCCTCCCTACACACTCAGACAGGAGATCATATGCAAACACTAATTCAAGATTAATAAAAAGTACATGTAGAAAAATATAAATATTTTAGCAAAAAAAAATTGGAGAATATTTTAATTTGGCATAGGGAGGACTTCCTAAGCAAGATTGAAAACACAGAAGCCACTTAGGGAAAATTACATAAATTTGACTATATAAAAATTAAAATTTTCCATTGCAAAATATAAATAAATAAATAGTTTATATATATATATTTGGAAAATAAACAATAGACCAAAGATACCTGTTGCAACAAATATAACAAAAGTTTTCATCTCTAATATGCATGTGTCTAAAAATTTATAGGAAAATGCAGCAACCCCACAGAAAATTTCAGAGAAGAAGAAATCCAAATTTTTGATAAACACAGGGGAGGTACTCAACCTCATTAGTATGGAAATACAAACTTGAGCAAAAGAAAACAAAACAAAATACTTAGTGCTTGTCACTCATGAGACTGGCAAAGCAAAAAGAAGCTATAAGTTCAGGGGTGGTGATGCTGCCAGGCTCTTTCACTGCAGATAGAACTGTGAACTCCTGCAGCTTTGGAAAGCAATCTCATGATACCTACTAAAATGAAAAATATACCTATCTTGGCTCAGAAATCTTACATTCTAGGATGTGTCCCTTAGAAATAAAACAACTGCACTCATGGAAATGAATTTAAGGATCTTTACTGTAGCATTGTTAGTGGTGGCAAACAGATAAAAATTACCCAAACTATCAACATGGAAACATTACATGAATTTGGTGTATTCATACTATGAAATATTATGCAGCCAGTGTTTTATTTTTTAAAGTGATTTATTTTTTATATATTTTATTGATTATGCTATTAATGGTTGTCCCAACTTTTCTCCCTTTGCCCCCTCCCCCGTACCCCCCAAGTCCCCTCAGGCAATCCCTGCACCATTGTTCATGTCTATGGATCATGCATGTAAGTCCTTTAGCTACTCCATTTCCTATACTGTACTTTACATCCCCATGGCTATTCTAATACTACCCATCTATACTTCTTTTTTTTTCCATTTGTACTTCTTAATCCCTTCATCTCTTCACACCTTCCCCCACACACCCATCCATCTGGCAACCATCAAATTGCTCTCCATATCCATGATTCTGTCTATGTTCTTCTTGTTTGCTTAGTTTGTTTTTTAGATTCAGTTGTTGATAGATACATATTTATTGTCATTTTATTGTTCATAATTTTGATCTTCTTTTTCTTAAATAAGTCCCTTTAACATTTCATATAATAATGATTTGGTGATGATGAACTCCTTTAGTTTTTTTCTTGTCTGGGTACCTCTTTATCTTGGCTGTAGGTCCCTCCTTTTCATGACTTTGAGTATTTCTTGCCAATTCTTTCTATCCTGCAAAGTTTCTTTGGAGAAATCAGAGATAGTCTTATGGGAACTCCCCTGTAGGTGCCTAACTGCTTTTCTCTTGCTGCTTTTAAAATTCTGTCTTTATTTTTAACCTTTGGCCTTTTAATTATGATGTGTCTTGTAGAGAGTCTCTTTGCATCCATCTTATTTGGGACTCTGTGCTTCTTGGACTTGCATATCTATTTCCTTCATCAAATTAGGGAAGTATTCTTTCATTATTTTTTCAAATAGATTTCCAATTTCTTGCTCTTTCTCTTCTCATTTTGGCACTCCTGTGGTGCAAATGTAGGAATGCTTGAAGTTGTCCCAGAAGCTGTTATACTATCCTTATTTTTTTATTCTTTTTTATTCTTGTTGTTCTGATTGGTTATTTTTTGCTTCCTTAAGTTCCAAATAATTGATTTGATTCTCAGCTCCATCTACTCTACTGTTGTTTTCCCTATACCTTGTTCTTTATTTCAATTAATGTATCCTTTGTTTCTAGAATAGGTCTTTTTTATGCTGCTGAGGTCTTCACTAAGTTTCTTGAGCATCCTTATAACCAGTGTTTTGACCTCTGCATCTGACAGATTGCATATCTCCATTTTGTTTAGTTCTTTTTATGGATTTTTGATCTGTTCTATCATTTGGACCATGTTTCTTTCTTTTTATTTTATTTTATTTATTTATTTTCAGAGAGAGGAGAAGGGAAGGAGAGAAACATCAATATGTGGTTGCCCCTTGTGCGACCCCTACTGGGGACCTGGTCCACAACCCAGGCTTGTGCCCTGACTGGGAATCGAACCAGCAACCCTTTAGTTTGCAGGTCGGCACTCAGTCCACAGGGCTGGGTCATGTTTCTTTGTCTCCTCATTTTGGCAGCCTCCCTGTGTTTGTTTCTATGTATTAGGTAAGGCTGCCCTGGCTCCCTGGCTCAGTAGCCTATACAAATGTAGTAGGTGTTCTGTAGGGTCCATTGGCACAGACTCCCCTATCACCCAAGCTGGATACTTGAAGCGCACCCTTTGTATGGGCTGAGTACACTCTCCTCTAGTAGTTGAACTTTGTTTGCTGTTAGCAGGTCAATGGGAGGTATTTACCCAGGTCAGTCAGCTGCAAGGACTGGTTCTGACACTGACCACCAACTTCCACCCTTTGTGGAGGATCAGATATGCAGGTGCAATGTGGTGGTGCTCTGATGTGGTCTGTAGCTGTTTGCTGGTTGCACAGGCCCTGGGGTTTCCCAGGTGATGGAGACCAAGATCTGCCCCACTTTTGTTCTGACTGGGGCCACCCTGCCTGAGCTATAAAGCAATCTGAGATGGCTGCTGCTTGTGCTGAGTGTGGAGATTCCAAGTGAAGCCAAGCTGTGAATCTATGCTTGCTGCTGCTAGTGCTGGGACTGGGATCACTCAGTAAGAGGTAAGGGTACTAGGGGCTCACTGAGGCCAACTCTTGCTTATTTGATAGGATATATGAAATTGTGAGGGATGAGCCAAGACCAGCCATTCATATGGAAAATTCCCTTAACATTTTGAGTGGGCCCATAAGTTGAGAGGGACAGAGACTCAGGAGATCTCCAGGGTGGGGCAAACTGTGTTAGTCAGGTTGATGGAGTCTTCGATATGGTACCCACCTGCTGGCCCTGCAGCTCTGTGGAGGGAGGGCTCAGAAAAGGGACAATGGTCTCTGCTCACCTTTCTGTGTGGGGGAAAGCTGTCTCCCAGCTCCTGCCTTGATGCCAGATACTTCAGTTCCTTCCTGAATGCCACTGGTACCTTTGAAGCTGCTACCCCAGTGCTGGAGTTCAGAGGGAGTGAGTCTGAGTGTCTATTTGTGAGTTCTTTAAGAGAAACTGCTTGGGACTCCAGAAGTTTCTTCCACCAATTCAATCCCCACTGGTTTTTGCAGCCACAAGTTATGGGGAGTCATTTTCCTGGCACTGGGGCCTGCTATGGGGCTGGGACTCCTTGTTCCTTAGATATCCCTCCAAAATTTTTTAGAATTATATTTTATTCATTATGTTATTACAGTTGTCCTAATTTTTATCCAACACATGTGGGTGTGGGACCAGCCTGTTCTGCATCTCTACCCCTCATACCAGGATGGATGGATGTGGTTTCTTTAATTCCGTAATTGTCAGACTTCCATTCAACTTGATTTCTGATAGTTTGAGTGATGATTGTTTTATATTTTAGTTGTAATTTTGATGAGGTTGTGCAAGGAGGTGAGCTGTGTTTACCTATGCCACCATCTTGACCATAAGTTGTAGCCAGTTTTTTAATGGTGTCAGGTATATGTTCATTGATCTCCAAAGATGCCTTTAATTATATTGCTAAAAAGCATATTGCTTTTAGAACATATGTATCATTAGATCCAGTTTTTGTTTACAAACCTTTTAAAAAGACACTACTTACTTTACATCATGCATCATGGCCATTTAGCATCATGGCTCCTGCAGAATTTTTGGCGAAATATCAAATCTCCCAAGTGATTCAGTCCCCCTATGGTTCAGATTTGGCAGCCTGCAACTTCTGGCTTTTCCTGAAACTAAAATCACCTTTCAAAGGGAAGCCATTTCAGACCACTGATGAGATTCGGAAAAATATAACAGGGCAGCTGGTGGCGATTTGGAGAATTGTGTGAGGTCCCAAGGTGCCTACTTTGAAGGGGACTGAGATGTCATTGTCCTATGTACAATGTTTTTTTTTTTTTTTGTATCTTCTTCAATAAATGTCTCTATTTTTCGTATTATATGGTTAGATACCTTCTGGACAGACCTCGTATATGGAGGAATCAGAAGTAGGAGAAAAATTGAGAATCCACATATGAAGCATTTATAGTCATAAGACTGGTTGATTTCTGTAAACTTTTGTGCATATGTGCCCAAACTGAGAAAAAAATGTGGAAGGATGCTCTAAGAGACTAGAGAAAGTCCTAGGTTCAAGTTTCAGCTGTTAGTCTTTTGGAAGGTTACCCAGCCTGTAAAAGCCTGTTTATAAAATGGAAAGAATAACACAGCTTTCCAAATGGCTCCACCACTGCCACCTCTTGGCTTGAGAGGCTGCCATGAAGTTGGGACTTCCAAGATAGAAACGCAGCCGCCACAAAGCCCAGGCTGAAGCCAGGGTAGTCGTATTGATTACCCCACGTGAGAAAGCGTTGCAATCGCAGCCATTTTCACTTACGGCAGGAAGCAGCTTCCGACCACCACCTTGGGAGAGAGTGTCCGCGAAGCTCTGACTGACACGCTTATTAAGGGCTGAGCTCTGAGGGCACCTCCCCGAGAGCCACTCAGCGTTAAGCTCGGCGGGCGGAGACGAGCAGCCGTAACCTCGCCCCCAGGCTTGGGCCCCACCTCTTCCGGAAAACTGTCGGTAGACGTCGCTGCCCTGAGTCCGGTGGCGGTTTGCCGCATCACGGAAGATGGCGGCTGCAGCGTTAAACGGGGCTGTGGGTTCCTCCAACTCTGGACCATCGGCGGCCTCGGGCGCGGTCCTACAGGCTGCGGCCGGCATGTACGAGCAGCTCAAGGGCGAATGGAACCGTAAAAGCCCCAATCTCAGCAAGTGCGGCGAAGAGCTGGGCCGTCTCAAGGTATGGGTGGCCGAGGGCGTTACGAGGGTTCTAGACCGAGCCGAGTTCTGGCCCGCGGAGCAGACCGCGGTGCTGATCAAACTAAGATCCAATAGGGTGAAGGATTCGGAACAGCCACAGTGCGGACGTCGAACGGTGAAGAAGTGAGAGGGGCCTGGCACCGACCAAATGCGGGCCCAAGGTGGGCGGGGGCTGGGGGGTGTTTGAAAGAGTGTTTTAGCACAAAAGAGTGAGAGGTCAAAATTTTGATGCTTAGAGGCCTAACTGGCTGGAATGGCAAGATGGGATGTTGGAGTTTTTCTGGTGGCGGGTTCTGGACAAGACTTAAGCGGGGAATGAGGACCGGATAGGGTGATGAAAGAAGAAGGCTGCGGTAATGGGGTGTATGGTCTAGACCAGACCAAGTTTGTGTCTCAGAGATTTGAGGCTTAGGGATGCATTTGTGGGGCGTGGGAAGTCAGCCAAGTTTTGAAGGCTGGACTAAACCTACCCCCCAAAATTTTATAGTACAGAACTAGAATAGGGTTCAGGGTGTTTCAGACCAAGTGTTTGGGAAAGTGCAAATACTGTGGGCTGGACCAAGTTGCTGAGGGGGCAGTGTCAGATAAGAAGTGAGGTGTGGGCTGGACAATACGGGGAAGTCAGCATTCCTCCCTCCCTGGTGTGGATTTGGGGTTGGGGGGAGTAATGGGTAAAGTCTGCCAAGAACTGAGGGTGTTATTGTCCCCCTGTCCTCTTGATTCCATTCGGTTGGGCATGGATTTTTGTCTTCTGTTTCCCCAGTGGGGCTATTAATAATTGTAGTATGAGGTAATCCTGAATGAGTACTCACAGTGCTTTATGAGGGCTAACTCCTTTAATGCTCATAACAACCTATGAGTAAGGAATGATGATAAGCTCTATTTTCTAGGTTGGAAAACCAAGGCCTAGAAAAAGTAAGTAATCATTACTTGAAGTCCCAGCCAATTTCCTTTCTTCTTTCTTTTCCACTCCGTCTTGTCAGCTGGTTCTGCTGGAGCTCAACTTCTTGCCAACCACAGGGACCAAACTGACCAAACAGCAGCTCATTCTGGCCCGTGAGTGTTACTGGATTTGGTAGAGGGTGATGCTTTAGGGGATTGTGGCAGAAATGGTAGCAGTGGTTGTCAGGAGAGGGACTCAGTCACCTCATGAGAACCTACCCTGTCACCCACAGGTGACATACTGGAGATTGGGGCCCAGTGGAGTATCTTACGCAAGGACATCCCCTCCTTTGAGCGCTACATGGCCCAGCTGAAATGCTACTACTTCGATTACAAGTGAGGATGGATTCTGCCCCTGATCAGGTTGTGGGGAGGGGTTGTGGTTTACATGGCAGCTCTTTGATTCCAGGTGCTCTAGTCTGGAAACTTCCCCTTTGCCTAGCTCCATCCCCAGAGGCTGCAGGGGCGGGCCTGGAAGTCCTGAGTCTCTGTTGACCTCCTATCTGTCTCCCTTTCCACATTTCCACACTGCATTTCCATTCCTCAGTTGTAGCCACCATCACATCTCATCTGCCCTGGCCCCAGCCTTGACCCTTTAGATCATCCCCCTGCTCCCCACCAAGGTAGCCAGTAGAATCTTCGTGATTCTAAAATTTGACCATGTTGATACACAGCTTAGAACCTACCATGACTCTCCATAGCCCTCAGATTCCAGGCCAAGCTCTTTCCCATGGCCCTCCAGTTCTGTATCAGGTCTCTCCCTAGCTGCCCCCGTCTCATTGCTGATCCCTCTGCCTGTGCCTCCACCATCGCAGGCCTGTCTCTTCTGCCGGTCTGTGAGCCTCCTAAAGGCAGAGGGGTCTTGGTCACTGCTATGTCCCAGCTTTCTCTAGAAAGGGGCTGGGCCCAGGCATGGACTCAATAGATACGTGTTGAATATAAAACTGAATGGTTTTATAATTCAGTGGTGCCTGGATGGATTAATGATTGAGAATTTGACATCAGAAGTCAGACAAACCTGAGTTTGAAACTGATTTTGCCAATTCCTGATTATGTGGTGCTGGGCAAATGACATTACCTCCGTAGACCTTACTTTTCCCCTTAAAATAAGGGTGATTATTAATCATAAGGGCTATGATTAATATCATAATCATAGCTAACATATATAGTATTTATTTGGGCCAGCTACTGTTCTAATCACTTTATCTAGGTTAAGTCATTTAATTCACATAACCCTTATTTATTTAACTCATCTCTGTGATTTGGATACTGTGGAGACACCCATTTTACAGTTGGGGAAACCAAGGCTGAGTTACTTTACTGAAGTGAAGTCATTCGCTTGGGCCCATATGACTTGTGACTTCTTTGTACCTCTCTGAACATCAGTTTCATCTGAAAACCCAGGACTCTACCTCTCCAAGGAGACAGCATGGGATAGTCATCAGGGTCCCTGGAACCTGGAGTGGGAGGCTCAGTAGGTACTTAAGTCCTTCTTACCTTGGTTCCCTCTCCCTGGTTCACAGGGAGCAGCTCCCTGAGTCAGCATACATGCACCAGCTCTTGGGCCTTAACCTCCTCTTCCTGCTGTCTCAGAACCGGGTGGCTGAGTTCCACACCGAGTTGGAGCGGCTGCCTGCCAAGGACATCCAGACCAATGTATACATCAAGCATCCTGTGTCCCTTGAGCAAGTGAGTCTGGAGAAAGAGAAGGGGGGGCTTGGCTGAAGGGGGCGGTGCAGTGAGAGGCATTAGGGAGGGTTTCCTGGAGGAGTGGGTAGGATTCACTCATCTTTTAGCCCATGGACTCATGTGCTTATTTGTCCAACAAGTATTGAGCCCCAGCCATGTGTCAGGTACTGTGGTTTTCAGACTGTACAGTGAACAAAACATGAAATTTTGGGAGCATGACATTCAGGTGAGGAAGCAGACAAAAAAGGATTAAGTAATCTGTATGATCTTTCAGATGTTAAGTGATATGGCGCAGAATAAAGCAGGAAGGAGGGTGGAGAGTCAGGAGCAGGGGTAAATTTTTAATAAGGGTGGTTAGGGAAGCCTTGTTAAAAAGGTAAAATTTGAGAGAGATTTGAGGGGTGAAGACCCCAACCACAAAGACATCTGTGGGAACAGTGGTCCAGGTAGCGGAGCAGCCTGACCAAAGGTCCCAAGGCAGAAACATGGCTGGTGTGGTGGAGGAGTAGCAAAGAGGATAGTGTCTAGAACAAGGTCAGCAGGGTTAGGAAAGAGCCTTAGTACCCCAGGTTAGGAAGTAGTTCCTAAAGCTGAGGTCTCTTTGGAGGATTTTGACTGTGGGGAGAGTGGGAGAGAGGACAGTTAAGGCAGGCAGCACAGCTTGGGCAAAGGAGGAATGGGTTTGCCCCGCATCCAGCTCTGTCTCCCTCCTGTGATTGAGAGTATAGGTTAAATGATTACATCCCAGCCCAGGGCAGGCTCCGAGTGTGTGTTTAAGTAAACCAGGGAGGGCTTCCTGTAGAGCAGGTGTGCATTCTGCACAGGGAATGGGTATTCTAGCAGAGTGGGGCTTATGGAGGCACTGGGAGTATGGTAAAGCCTCAGTCGGTGGGCTGCCTCTATTTCATCCTCTAATCTTCCCTATCCCTCTGGTCTCTGCAGTACCTAATGGAGGGCAGCTACAACAAGGTGTTCCTGGCCAAAGGCAACATCCCTGCTGAGAGCTATACTTTCTTCATTGACATCCTGCTTGATACTATCAGGTGCGTGGGGAACAAGAGCCCTCTGGGGTTCAGAAAGCTCAGAATCTGGAGTCAGGCAGCCCTTAGTTGAATCCCATTCTGCCCAGTTGTGATCTGGGGGGGCTGGGCATAATCAGGTTTTCTTTTCTATGAACTGGAACCAGTTATGAGATTGTGGAAAACAGCCATCATCTCGCTCTGGGCTGTTTATGCGTGTACTCACATGTGTCAGACACAGAGCATGGATTCAGCAACCCTGATACTGCTCAGCAAATAGGACCATGCTGCCTCTCTTAGAAGTGCTCCATGTGACCTCACCTCAGATTACCTAAACTGTGGAGCCCTTACTTAATTTCCCTTTCTTTACAATGGGGCCCTCAAGTTCTGCTAGCCTCTCAGGTTTCTCTGTGGACAAGTGACATCACACAGACAAGTGGGCATGACATTTAAAAGTCCCTTGAGGAGTAAAAGGTTGTCCAGGTGGTGGCAGAGGCCACATGGAGATGGATTTTTATTCCTTGGGTGGCAGAGCCAAGCCCAGAGAAGTGGTGGGAGCAAGGAGAATAGTTTTGTGGGTTTGCAGGGACGGGAGGGGGACTAATTTTTTTTTTTTTTTAGGATTTATTGATTTATTTTTAGAGAGAGGGAAGAGAGGGAGAGTAACATCAATGTGTGGTTGTCTCTTGTGCATCTCCTGCTGGCCTGCAACCCAGGCATGTGCCCTGACTGGGAATTGAACTGGTGACCCTTTGGTTCTCGGGCCAGCGCTCAATCCACTGAGCCACACCAGCCAGGGTGGGTTTAGGTTATTTTTAATTATGAAATATTTTGACTCCAAAATTAACAGGGAGTAAAAAATGAATGCCCACATACTTACTACTTGTCTGAAGAGAAAAAAATACCTCAGAAACTGATGCATTCTCCCTGTCATTTCTTCCCCAGAGCTACCCCCTTTTTCCATTTCAGTGACTCCATGCCTTGTTGTTTTTCTACACAGTGTTGATTTTGTTGCCTCTTGGCAGGGGTGCAAGGAACCCCTTTGGGATTGGATCTAGAAATGGAATACAGCACCCTTCTGTGGGGTGGTATTATGTAAAGGGACCGTGTTCACGGGAGTCCCAGGCTGGCTTTCAGATGCCTTGAAGTCCTCGTGGCTGGGAGTGGGATTCAGAGTTTGCGTCCAGAAGCCAGCGAGACTGGGATGTGGCCCTGGCTTGCAACTCTGGTCAGGCTTCTCCCTCTCTCTCTCAGCCTCCATTGTTTAAACAGGACAGGTAACAAAGGTATTCCAGTAGTCAGTGCTGAACTGAATGGTCAGAGCTCTTGCATGTGAGACCAGGGGGGACAAGACTTGAAATGCTGTATGTACTCATTAGTGAGAACTTCATTCTTTCCCTAGAGATGAGATTGCTGGATGCATTGAGAAGGCCTATGAGAAAATCCTCTTCACTGAGGCCACCCGGATCCTCTTCTTCAACACACCCAAAAAGATGACAGACTATGCAAAGAAGGTGGCTAGGGTGCAAGGGGTTATGGGGCCAACGGGTGCACTCATTGATAGCATTGAGGGTAGAGGGTAGCCTAGGGGGACATTGGAGCAAGATTGCCTAGGCTTAAAAATCCAGCTGTGACCTCAGGCAAGCCGCGGAACTTCTCTGAGCTTCAGTTTACCTCTCTGTAGAGTGGAGCTAGAGTTTTAACATGTGGGATGAGCTTAGCACAACACTGAGCACAGGTGGAGGTGGATACTTGGCACCTGTTGGCTGTTGTCCTTATCCAAATTCCTTGGAGTTTTTAGCTTTTTCCCCACATGACTTTGCTTCATTTGGTCTGGGGTATTTGTGCAGGAGCAGTGCCCCAGACATGCTGGTGCATGAAGTGCAGTGACCCTAGTGACTGAGGAGGGTCAAGACCAGGCTGGAAGAAGTGGAATTGAAAGTGATGGGGACAACTGATACTTAGTGATTGTTTAGTCTGAACCAAGCATCGTTCTCAGCACTTTATAGGTGTTGATTAAATTCTCATAGCAGACCTGGAAAGGAGAGTGATTTGGCCTGGTCTCAGACATGGAGAAACTAAGGCACAGAGAGGTGAAGTTACTTGCGTAGAGTTATGCACGTAGAGTTGGTGAGGAAACAAAGCCAGGGCCTACATGGGTAAATGCTGGCTCTGTGGGGTGGTGAGGGAGCCTATGTGATCACCCCACCCATCTCTCATTCCTCCCTTTCTGCAGCGAGGGTGGGTTCTAGGCCTCAACAACTACTACAGCTTTGCCAGCCAGCAGCAGAAGCCAGAAGATACTACCATCCCCTCTACAGAACTGGCTAAACAGGTCATCGAGTACGCCCGACAGCTGGAGATGATCGTCTGAGCCCAACAGGCACTGGGGCGGGGCGGGGCTTGCATTATTGAAGCAGTTGTGGTGTAGGGTTTCCTTCAATAAAGCTGGATAGACTGTCTTCTAGACCCTTGTCTCCCAGGGTGGAATGGTGGGGAGGCAAGCCATTGTCTCCGAAGAGCTCACAAGTTTGAGGGCCATCAAGGGTTACCCTCTCTGTCCAGAGGCCTTTGCTCAAGGTATCAAACAAACTACTTCAAGCCAATGGTGGCTTGAGGGAACACAGGCCCTGGGTAGAGGGACTGTTACACCCAGCTATGGAAACAGGAGGGCCAGGCCAAGACACCAGAGTTTTTTTTTGGCAAAGGGGATGAAATATCACAAAGTTAAAAATGTTTGCAATGAATTAAACTAGTTTTGTTTCAGTGCCAAGCAAGATGGAATCCATTTGTGGGCTACTAGTTTGAGACCTCTTGGGACAAAAAGCATGGGTTTGCCTTGGTTTCCACCCTCCCTGAGCCAGTGCTGTGACACATGACTTTTCACACCCCCAGACTTTGTTTCCTGCCATGAAATTCTCGAGGTGTTTAAAGCAGAGTCCAAATCTGGCTGAGCCAATTGTGAGATTTTCAAGTCTTCCAGAGTCAAGTTTCCTCAGCTGTAAAATGGGAATGATCACTCCTGCTTTCCAGAGTGATTTTTATTGAACCCTTGAGCTTAGCACCAGGTAAGCTCAAAAATGGGGCTGATGATATTAAGGGTAATGAAACTATCTCACCCTGGGGCCCATCAGTCTAGATGCTGGTGAATGGAACCTCTGTTAACTGTTGCTCTAGGTTCAACCTCTTGTGTATAGGATGTGGTTCCTGCATGGAAACTTCCGTCCTGCCCTACCTCACTCCTTCATTCCTTAGCAGGTGACTTGACAAACAGCTAGGCATCTGAATGGTTGGTTATTTTATTGTCAAGAAGGGGAAGGTGGAGGCCATCGAACAGACTGCACTCAGTTGGAATGTGTAGCCTGCAAGTCGAAGTGCTCCAGCCCAGCTACTAGGGAGCCAGCCAACTTGATGGTGGCAACCCAGGACGGCTCACTCAGGTGGTTGGTGGGTGTGCTCAGCCTAGAATGAAGGTAGAGTCAGCAGGGTCTGGCTATGTGGTCAGGCCCTTACTCTTTTGGGTGTTCATTTTCCCCCTCTGCATAAGGGACCATGTCTGAATATCCCATAGGCAGTCTAGGGCAGAGCTATATCTGAATTAAGTAGAAAGTGGGCTAAGGGTTGGTGCTGGTGTAACATTCCCTCCCCCTCTCTACTTCCCCTCCCCAGCTGAGCTCCAAGGGGTCCAGGCTAGAGGGTCTCCTAGGGATTCAGAATTCTCAGGAGCCAGGGTCAGACAGACTGGTGACAAATCCTAAATTTTAGTGTGGTGGGTAATTTGATGATGCATTAATTATCCCCCCTAGAAGAAGACTCCCGAGTAGTCTCTACAGCACAAGGACAGGGCATCAGTGCCCTCTGGTGGTCAAAACTTTGCGTCCCAGAATCAGAAGTTGCCATAGGCTGGAGGGAGGGGTAGGACGTCTGAAAGGCTGCTTTTGGAGTCCTGCATTTATATCCATATCCGGTTGGTTTAGAAGACAGGCATTGCCCCTCCCATCCATGAAGGGCTTGGAATACAGTCCCTCTTGGTGCTCTCAGGGACTGCCAATCAAGGCTGTGAAGTGTGTCAGCTGGGACAACCTTTCCTCCCTGATGGCTCCAGGATAACAAAGGAAGGGAGAGCCAGAGGTCAGCTTGGATGTCTAGATAACAAGGCTGGGCCAAGGTGTTTCCTCTTGGAGCTCAGATGGGTTTGAAACGCAGCCAAGGAAAAGGTCAAGGGTCACCAGAGATACTGAGGGAAAGGGGTGAATGGGTCTCTATCCACCAAGTCGGGTTGGGAACTTAGGAGGGGTATACCCTCCCAACCCCCGACCCCTCCTCACCAGGCAGAGACGTTTCGTGGCAGGCGGCGATGGCGTGGCTGGTGGCGGCAATAACACTTGCAGGGACAAGAGTTAAGCACCTGGAAGGGCGGCCAGTGGCGCTGGGCACCAGTTGTAGCCATCCCCATTGGAGGAGCCCCGCCGCCGTCACTGTCAGTCATGATAGCTGCAGTCCGTTCATGAGCACCCTCTCCAGGGGTGCCATTCTCACGGGTCGCGCACCGGGCAGCACGGGGGCCCTTGTTTCTGCGAGTGCGGGCTTTGATGGGCGGTGGCGCAGGCTTCGATGGGTTTGCCTTAGAAGCTGGGGTTGGGACTGGGGCTTGGGCCGGGGTGGGGTCCAAGGCGGACTCCAAGTGGCCTGAGCCTGGGGTGGGTGTGAGCGCTGCGAGCAGCATAGGCTGGAGCACTGGTGGCTGCGGTGTGGGCGGTGGCGCCGGAGGCGGCGTGGGTGGTGGCGTGGGTGGTGGCGGAGGCGGCAATTCCAGTGAGCCAGGAGGCCCGGGGCGCGCAGGTTCGCCATTGGTGGGCGCCGGGAAGATGAACATAGGAGGCGCCAGCAGGGAGGGTGCGGGCCTCCGGGGCCCCGGAGCTGGGTGTATCTCCCCTGGTGGAGGCGGTGTGGACCCCCAAGGACCTGAGAGAGCAGCTGCACGCCGTCTCGGGGCCCCGATGCCTCCACTGGTCCCGTTGAAACGGAAGTGGCGTTCAGGACCATCTGGAGGACTCACCCAGTCAAATTTTGGCTTTGAGCCTGGAAAGGTGGTGTAAGGTGGTGGCGGAAGGGCCCGGGCGTAGGATGCAGGCGCAGAGGGGGGCCCAGAGCACCCCTCGCCGTCTCCATTACCACCCTCCGCTTCCTGGGTCCCTTGAGGAACCTCTCCCGGGGGACGGGCGGCCCCGGGAGCCAGGGGCCCTTGCTTCAGGACCTCGGCATAAGAGATGGTGCCTGAGGCGGCAGCGAAGAGCCCCCTGCCTCCGCCGCCCGCGAGCGAGACTTTGGCGACTAAGGAACTCGACGTTGCTGCCGGGGGCAAAGGAGGCTCCGACTTGAAGGTGACTTGACACAGCAGATTCAAGCCGGACTCCGAGGCCAGAGGCTGGGCCATTTCGCCGTCCCCTGCTTGGGGAGGCGCCCCTCCGCACGTGCCGCTGGCAGTTCGGCACTCACTGCCGCGCCCGACCTGGCCTTCTGTGGGGGGTTCGGAGGGTGTGGCCAGAGGAGGGCTGATTCTGCTGTCCGAGGGCTGTCGATCGAAAGGTGGCGGCTTTCGCGGCTCCAAGGGTGGCGAAGTCGGGGATGGGGCCCTTGAGACAAGGTCTGGGTCCTCTTCGGTTCGTGGCAGGGCCGGTGGCGGCAGCGGGCGGAGGCTCGGAGGGTCACCCTGGCCGCGATGGCTTGCCTCCAGCAGACCGCGTATCCGGGGCACCGGAGTGCCCGTGGGTTTTCTCCACTTAGACTGCGCGGGCAGCAGGGTCCCCGCGGGGGGCGGGGGTGGTGTGGGGGCCGCAACTGCAGCTGCAGCCACAGCCACCTCCTCTGAAGGGGGCGTCACGGGCGAGGGCAGTTCTAAGGTCAGGGGCAGGGGCGAGGGTGAGGCCTGGGGCTCCGGGGGTACCAGGAGTCCCGGGGGCGCTGAGCTGCCAGGAAACCAGACGCCCAGCCCGCGAGCCAGGCGTCTGGCAGGGGAGGAGGGGGTCACCTCGGGCTCAGCCAAGGGCTTCCGGCGGGAGTCTGAGGAGCGGTCCGAGGCCTGCTCTTTTCGGGAGCCCCCGCCCGCGGACGGCTCCGACTGCACGTTCCCCATTTCTGACGGAGGTCGGGGACTGCGATCAGAAAAACTAACGCCAGTCAGGCTGCCAGGTCTGCGGGCACCCGATATGGCTGGCTGTACTTAGTCCTACCGGTCCGTCCCTGTCCTCCAAAATCCACTCAGGCACCAGTCTCTAGCCGCATTCGCGTTCACTGACTCTCCACGTTCACGCCTTCTTCCCCGTTGCCCCATACAGCTGCTGTTCAGACACGGGCTCCATCCCCTTAGTTTACTAAGGTTCCTTCCCTAACCCCCTGGCTGGTCCCTCAGATCACATCTACACTTTGGCCACGTCCCAGGTCTCCAAGACACAGGTCTTGCCTGCTTTCTTGTCACGCGAGCCACAGCACGCTGGATAGAGGAGTTCAAGCTTCTCTTCCACTCTAACCCCACCCTACTCTCTGGTCCCGCCCCCGATTGTCAGGGAATAGGGCCTCGTCCACACCTACCCAGGTCTAGCCCTGCCTTCGCCTAACAAATTACCAGTAGCCTTCACCTCTAACCCTCTGATCTCTCTCTGGATTATTTCAGGCCCGCCTTCGTCCCAGATAGCGCCAGATCTTCAGGCCTCACTCAAACTTCTCTTCCCCTGCAGGCGTCAACATCAAGCCACACCCCTGTCCCCAAGCTCCGCCCTTGGCTCCTCCTTCCCCCAGATGCTCCCACTCACCGATTCCTCCTGCCCACCAAAGTTCAGATAGCGTCTCCCTGGGCCCAGGGCAGGGCGGGGAACGGCCGTAGCAGAAAATAACCGAAAAGAACGGGGGTGCGGGTGAAGGCAAGTGGGCGAAGCAGCGAGGGCGGACCCAGAGATCTAGGCCCCGCCTCCGGCCTCGAGGACACGCCCTCCAGTCAGACAGCGTGAGTTCGGCCCCTTACGAACCTGGATATCCCTTCGAAATACTCGTACGTCTCCTTAGTCGCTCCCAAGCCTCGAGGTTCTAAGCCCCACCCCTTTAGAACATTTTCCTTCGCTCCTCCCCTTTTCAATGCTCCGCCCCTCCGTTAGTCTCTTTCCCAATGCCCCGCCCATTAGGAACACTGCTACGTAGCTCCTCCCTCTTGGATCTCTAGCGCCCGACCCATAAAACAATTTACTTCTAAACTCCCAAAACCTTTTCCTTTTCCGCCCACCCGGAAGGCCCATCCACCGTGGGCCCGCCCCCTCCATGACGCATTCACTTGTCCTGCCTTTGGCGCCCTCAACCTCTCCCTTCTTGGGCCCTCTGACTCCGCCCCCTTGCGAATGCTCCCTGCTCGCCCCACCCTTTTCGAACCTTGGCAGGCACTTAGCTCCTTCAATTTAGAACCCAAAGTGTAGTCCCTCGCCTCTGTATAACACTGAGACCAGGCAAAGTCCCGGACCCCTTCCCCCCACATCCTCGGGGACCAATGGCGCGGATGGGTGGAAAAGTAGGGGATCCTTTCTGGAACCTGAGAAAATGGGGACTGGGGGGCTGTTCTTTGGAGACGGTGCCGGGCGCTAGGACCCAGCGGGCAAGTACGCCCGCCTTGCGTTTACACCTCCCCCAAGCCGCCCCCTCCCCCCTACCCATCTTCCACGCTCCCCCTCCCTCCCCTTCGCCCCGGCTCCTGGAGCCCGTCTCTAGCGCTGCTGGAGCCAGCGAGGTAGCCTGAGCGAACGGGAGGAGGAGGAGGAGGAGGCCACATCGCCGCAGCTCGGAGCCCGGCCGGAGCCTCCCAGGCAGGTGCCGAGGGGGTCGAGTGGGCGGGGGCTGACAGATCTGTACTGGTTTGGGGGCGGACTGGACCGCGTTGCGCCTCCTGCCCACCCGGGTGCTCCCCAGATCCCGGCTGGAAGGGCAAGGGGGTGGGGGCCCCTAAACTACACGGCAGCCATTTGGGGTACCAGTCTCCATTTGGGGGGCCTGGACTTCCTCCCAGGACGCTCCATTCATAAAATTCAGTACAGGACCCCCACCTTTGAGGAACTGTGGGAACCACTCCCCCGCGGGAAACGTGGGGAGCGTAGGGCATCCAGAAATCCCAGCGTCCTATCCCAGCTAGGCCCTGAGGGGGACCCCTGCCCTTTTTCTGAGCTTCACCTGTTGTCGAGGGAGGCGGGCGGACAAAGGAAGCAGAGTCACGTGACTGCTCATTCACAAAATCCCATCCCATTGAGAAAAGGGGGCTGGGGGCGCTGCAGCCGCCCCTTACCCTACTGAACGACTGGGGAAACCTGGCAGCCTGCAAGTGGAGGAAAAGGCTAGAGCTCGCTTCGTGGGCCCTTAAGTCTGGGACGCCTGGGTCCCTGCGATAGGCGTTAGTGAGGGGCTGGACGACGATCTGGATTACTGGGTAGAGGGCTACTTCTCCTCAGCTGGGGGCGGGGTAAAATGGTTTTGAAGGATGCTGGGGCGGGGAGGAGGAGGGATCAAACCTCCCCCTCCCCCGTCAATCTCTTTGCTTTGCCTTCCCTCAGCTGAGGCCTGAGGGAGCAGGTTTGGTATTTTGTGAATGAAATGCTCTCTGGATGAGTCTCGATACCCGGTTTCTAGGTTCCCCTGCGTTCACATCCTTTTCGGCCTCTCTCTGGCCATTTCTGATTCTCTCCCTGACCATCTCCCGTTGCTGGGTGACTCAGTGAGCTTTGCATCCGGTCTCATTCATAAATCCGGGAAGGAGTGGGGGGGAAGAGAGCCTGGGTCTCTCGCCCAGCCAGTGGCCTGGGCGGCAGGGTGCGGAGGCAGAGTAGGGGGGACTGGAGCTGAATTGATGGGCTCTGAGAAAATACATATGCGCAGGCACCCAGCTGTGAGGGGAATGGATGGGTGGGGTTGTGGGTATGAGGAGAGGAGAGAACGGAGACGGAGATGAGATTGATAGGGGATGAGCAGGAAGGAGAAGGAAAGTGGGAAACCAAGGTTGTGAGGGATGGGTGGGAAAGATGGGGAGAAGGAAGAAAGGGGTATGGAGAGAAAAGGTAGATATGGAAAAGGCAGGCATGAGAGAAAAGAGATGGCATGAGGAAGAAAGAAGCCATGCTGGAAGAAGGGAATGGGGCGGGGGGGGGCGGGGGGGAGGTAGGAATGGAAGGTAAGCTGAGTATCAGTGGTGAAGGTTGCAGTGGATCCAGACGTGAGAAGCGGTGAGGGGAGATGGGCCAGGGGAACACTGAATGGGAGAACAGGATTGGAACTCACTGACCATGCCCTGTCCCCTCACCTCCAGGTACATGGTTCGGGTCCGAGCTGTGGTGATGGCCCGAGATGACGCCAGTGGGGGCTGGCTGCCTGTGGGGGGCGGGGGCCTCAGTCAGGTGAGCGTATGTCGAGTCCGAGGGGCCAGGCCCGAGGGGGGGGCCCGCCAGGGGCACTACGTCATCCACGGGGAGCGACTCCGGGACCAGAAAGTGAGCCACCTTGGGGTGTGGGAGTAGGGTGGGGGCATGGGGAAATAGGGAAATGGGGCTGGGAGTGCAAAGGTGAGGTCAAGCCATCTCCAGGTGGGAATCAAACCTGGGTGTGGGATGAAGTTTAAAAGTGAATATCTGTCCTATCGATAAGGGTTGGGAGTTTCAGGAACATTTGCAGTTTTAAGAAGGTGCTGTCCACTGCCATCATCCATGCGACTGTTAGAGCAACCTCTTTGCCCTGCTCCCTCCCCTACCTCAGTGTGTTCTACAGGGGCTCTGCTAACATCTGACTCAGATCATGTCCCTTCTCTGCCTAGAACCCTCTCATGGGTCCATCTTGTTCAGAGATCCTCACCAAGAGGCCATATATTCTTGGCCCCTGTCTACCCTAAGTATATGGAAGCATTTGGTGGAGGACCATCTGAAAATGTCAAATAGGGTTTACAATCCTATATTTGGGCTCAGCAGGAATATTCTGGGCTGTCTGGCACGATTTGGAAGGCAGTGTTGAAGTTTCAGCTAGGAGTGTAGTAGAAAGATCAGGATCATTTGCAGAGTCTTGGGGGAAAAGTTGAACTTCAGAGCAGGGGTCAGAAGGAACAGTGCAGGGGGATTTGAAATGATGTGAAGCAATATAATGATGTTGGGCAGGAATATGAGAGAACATCTAGGGTGTCAAGCATATGTAGGGAAACCTGTGGGAGTTTGATAAGAATTTGGGAACTAGCATTTTGGGAGACTATTGGGGCACTGAAAGGGGATTAACAGTAATATTTCAAGGTGTTTAATAAAGTTTGGGGAGTACTGTTGAGTCAGAAGGTGGAACATTGGGTTATCAAAAGAGGGCGAATTAATTTTTTGAGGCATTTAGTAAGATTTGGGATTCCTACTGGAATATCAGCGGTGGGAACTATTGGAAAACATAGGGATCAAGGAGTTTGTGGGAAATATTGGAGAATGAGATATGTACTCAATAAAATTGGGGAGTGGTATTGGTCAGGGTTCAGGGGTACACCTAGGATTGAGAAATGAGGTTTATGGGATGCTGGGGTATGCAGGAGGGCTAGAGGTGAAGTCCCAGGCATGGCTGGATGGAGGTGTCTAACCTGTGTCCCTCCTGCCCCTCAGACCACCTTGGAGTGTACCCTGAGGCCAGGCTTGGTGTACAACAAGGTGAACCCCATCTTTCATCACTGGAGCCTGGGTGACTGCAAGTTTGGGCTGACATTTCAGAGTCCTGCAGAGGCTGACGAGTTCCAGAAGAGCCTGCTGGCTGCACTGGCGGCACTGGGTCAAGGTTAGTGGTGCAGGGGGTTAGCACTGGGGGCTGGGGCGGAGGTGTGGGAGAAGCTGGGGTCTGCATAACTCACTCTCTGCCTCTCTCCCTGCCCCAGGCTCACTCACCCCCTCCTCCTCCTCCTCTTCCTCTTCCCCTTCCCAGGACACCGCTGAGACCCCCTGCCCTCTGACGGTGAGTCTTCAGGACCAGCTCTGCTGGAATGGCAGGGGTTTATTTCTATTCTACAAACATTTTTGAGCACCTGCTGTGTATCAAGCACCATACCACATGCTGGGAACAGAAATTTGTGCCCAAACTATCAGGTCAATTTAATCCCAGTTATTCTAGTTTCTG